AAGCCAAGAGGACCAGGCGAAGCAAAAGAAGACAGAATAAAAGAAATACTCCTCACTAAACAAGCGTTCGGCTCAAGTTCGCTAATCACCACCATGTCACACTCTTTTCGCGAGCTTAGCACATGGGCCTGAGCTGTCGTCGACGGGATTTCGAGCAAAGAGTCTTTAAGAGACGCGCAACAGTGGCCTCTCCTGCTCTCTACAGCAACTTTTGCGCTACGTATTAAAAACGCGTTCGCAACAGCTTTGCTCCGCAGCTGTCATTTACCCATCACTCTCGTGTCTTTTATGGTGGCATTAAAAACTGCTGAAAGTTTCTCTTCCCTCTTTGCTTTTTTCTCTTTCCAGAGGAGCTTAACTGATATGTATGCCTGCCCGTCCTCTGTTTGATGGACGTGATGGTTTGTCAGTCTTTAACTAGGGTTTTCAAAATATACAGAGAGCTGTGTTATGAAGACCTTCATAGGGGGGGCTAGAATGAAGAGAATGGGGGGGGATTGAGAGAAAATCCATAACCCAAATACAGCTGTCAGACGGAATGCAAAGTTAGCAGAAGCAGCTTCGGTCACGGCGGGGGGAAACAGGGCTCTGGCTTCAGACGCCTTCCTAGCTCTGATGCTATCTCATCTCGGGCACTGACACAAGCCATTCCACACATTACAGAGGTGTTCCTCATCAAAGCAATGGAATCTCAAGGCTCAGTCCATTTAAAGCTGCATGACAGGCAGTGAACCTATTTTAGACTGATTAGATATAGTAGCAACTTGCATTTCCCAAAGTAGCCAAGAGGCTGTATAGGTCAGGATACTGAGATACAGTACCTCATGTGGGAGGTATTACTAAGAATGGTCTCATTCTCCGTCATCAACTCACTTTCTCCCACTTCCTCACTCTCGTGCTTCTCTTGCTCACTCACTCTCTCTCCCTCTTCCTCTTCCTTTCTTTCCCCTTCTCTCTCCTGGGAAGGCCTGGACACAGGGCAGCTTGTGGAAGTGCTCCGTGAACTCCGCTTTTCCACCAGCGTCTGCAGCTCCGAGTGCCAATAATAGGCCATAAAGCCGGGGCCACTGTCTGCAGAGCGCTCTCCGGGGACGCTTAGCTAATGGATACAGAGGAATAATGACCAACGCCTCCGCCTCTAATACTGTCATTTCCGTCCAGTGGACACCCTGCCTTGCCCTGCGCGACTTTCACCAGCTGCGTTAGAAACAGGCCTTAAACCCTCAGCTTCAGGCAAGGGACACTTTTAAAGACATCCATCACCTCATAACGGCCTAGCACTGTCCAGAACCAGGCCTCCAGTCCACACAAGAAAGACACAGGAGTCATGAGTGAACGTGAACTTTCATTAGAGAATGAAGAGAAGATCAAGGCTTAAAAGGGACTCTTCTAATAATGTTTAGACTCTATATAAGTTGAATGTCATCCTGAAAGTTACACCACAAAGAATTTCCTACCACGGGCAGCCTTAAAGCTGATGCACAACAGAGAACACGTTTCTGCCCCACTTGCCTGGTTCCTCCCAAAGCTGACATGGTCCATGCCAGCTCTACACAACATCAAGCACAAACTAATCAGATCAACTGTGTCATCTGGAAAACATCCCTCCTTTTCCACCAGCAGAACTTTTTTTTTCCTGATTCACAGATGGGCATGATGCTGAAGTTGGGTAAAATTGCTTTACAGAAGAGTGGCTTAACTCTGGTCTCTATATCTCTATTTCTTTTTTAATGTTGTTTTTCATCGAGGAGAAAATGACACCACTCTCCGAGTTGTAATAAAAACAGCCTTCACTGTCAAAAAACGTGCATAATTTATTATTCACACACAGAAGAAAATGCCTGGGCTCGCCGTTCCACTGAATAACATCTTCAATTAAAACCACATGTTTAATCACCATTCACTGGCGCTGCTGGTTACTGCTGGTCAGCACTGGAGGCGACGCATTCACAGAGGCAAATGGCCGTAAAATCCCAGCCTGACCTTTCACTGAAGGTTTGTCGAAGTATAAAAGAGCGAACTTAATCATCGCATATTTTGCACAATTGCGTTTCAGAGTGCAGGAACGCTGTTAGAAAATAGTGAACACGCCACACAAGGTCAAACCATATATTTAGGGGAAAAAAGTATTAATAAATCTTCATTTACAGATGGGTGTGTATTACTCTTGAAAAACACTTTGATCTGGAAAAAAGCACTTGTGCAAAAACTAACATTATTTTTGGACCGGCAGAAGTGTTTAATGGTAGTGGAGCCGACAAGTGAGGGACAGCGCTTCATGAAATCAAAAGTACTTGAATCGAGCACAGTGAGGATTGAAAACTTAAATCTACATCCATATCACTTGACTAGGGCTCATGTGAATTTGGAGTGAGCAGAGAGCAAGCTGAAACACACACACCTATCACACACACACACACACACACACACACACACACACAGGTAACGCACCTCGTGCTTTTGCACAGAACTTCAAACAATATCAAGGCCAATATCTACAGTAAAAAACTGACACAGCTTTGGAGCTATCAACACAAATATTCCTCCTTCACACACAAACCTCAGCGACTCACCACATTCAATTCTGACATTTTTTAGTCTCGGCCACCCTGACCCGCACACGCTGAACTGTCAACCCCACACCATTTCCACCAAACAAAACCTCCTGTCTTTGAACGACCACCTCAGAAAATACTTTATCACCGTCCCACTAACGCCCATATATGCAGTCTTACTTAGAATGAAAAGATAGAGCATTAAAAAGCATTTATCCTCCATAATAGAGTAATAAACAAAGTCTAAGTGGAGGAAAAGCTAAACTAAAACTGCACGGTGTTTCAGACCTGCTGCTTTTGGTATTTGGCCGCAGGGCGGGAGTGTGAAAACTATCGGCTCAAGTGCCGTTTACGGCTGCTGAAGCAACACAAAAGCCTACAGAGCAGCTGAATTCGGCTCCTTCAAATTATCCTTATAGCTATCATTTGAATTCACGCGCAAGAAAAAGGGAAGATGTGCATTCTTTGCCCGGTTGGTCTTCACGCTGAATTACCTAATCACTCAACCATGACTGAAACATAAAGTGCAGGTAGAGGAAAAGTGAAATTCAAACTTTCATTTCTGTACATGTCGTTATTAAAGTTTATAAAAGAGAAAAAATAAAGAGTGTTAAAGAAACAGATTTCTTCAAATCTCACAGCGTATTTCAAAAGAAAAGATTTGAAGTGATCCTTGTGAAATGAAACCTCTCTTAAATTAAAATACAAATCTGCATTATTTCTCCTAACATTCTTGCAGTACATTTATAAATCTGCTAAAACCTGAATCTGTGGCATTTTGTTAAATAAAAAGCTCTTAACTTTTTTGACCTATAAAAGCAGCCAGCACCACATCAAGCAGATACTCCTATTTTTTCTATCTGAAAATTACCTGAGTGCATTAAAAACACATAATAAATTAAAACAAAGTCATCGATTTAAATATGCAAAAATTGCACCTTCCCAACCTTTATGATTCTATTTAAATCCCATAAGGAGGTTAAATTAAAAGTATGTGTTGTGCTATTAATGGCAACAGGCAGGCAATGCAGCATCCACCTCAACCACTGCGATGAGAAGAATGCCAGAGGAAAACAGGGTTAGAAATGTCTAAATGAAATTAATTGTGCCCAAAGCCCTATCCTCCATCAATCACCTCATAATAACACGCTTGACACACACAACGCCATCTCATGTGGATTTTTTTTTCTGTCAGAGAAAAATGTGGAAAGAGCTGCACATGTCACCATTACCTACTGGGACTGTAGAGATTTATACACTAAATGCATGCAATCTGTTTTTTTAAGAATTCATTCTTTACATGAAGATGCTTTAAAACATACGTCTATTTTTTTGTTTGCCTTTAATTTAATGTTATTTTATTTTTTTTCAGCAGCACACTGACGGGCATGCACAATTTTAAAAAGCCTTTTTTTCTTTTAATAGATCACTTAAGTAGTAATGAAAAAGTAGGAAAACCTTCAGTAAAAGTAGCCACACTATGCCAATATTTACAGTAGAGTTGAATATACTGGAAAAGCACTAGTGATTTATATTTCAAATTTTAGTTGACACATTCAATTTGATCAAGTGAGTTACATTTTTTTATATTAGTACGACTTGAAACCGTCGTTTTGTGAGAATAAAAAGCGAGAAGAAAAAAATCTCCTGTTACGTGTTACATTTTTTAGCAGTTCCTTTAAAATGGATTTCTGGCTTAAGTCACCGTAACATAAAGATTTGTGACAGAGTTATCTAAAATTTAAAAATCACGCCCGTACAGTTTTTCTTCTGAAAGATGTTCAGAATAAAAGTCTCAACTGCTCTTCTAGAGCTGTACAGCGAGCGTCAGTTCATTCAGCGAGGCCTTTTGGATTTGTGAATTAATCAATAAACATCTGTCCTTCTTAACATTTTCTCCTTCTCTGTGCTACACTAACACAGGGAAAATACAGCCTGAACAAACAGCGAGCCGCGTTTGAATTGATAACCGAATGACTTATTATTTTAGGTTTGTTTGAAAAGCCTTAGTCTGGAAAAAAGGGAAACTTTGTGCGTTAAAAGCCTGAGATCAGCATCTACCTCAGCCCACTGAGGAGAAACGCGTGGAGACAATTTTAAGAACCAAACACGCTACAATGTGGGTTTACTGTTAGTTAAATGAAATAGTTTATATAAGTACATAAGGATTTACACTTTTATTAATAAAGCTGGGATGAGTCTTAAATGTCTGTTCGGCCTATAAAACTAATTGTTTTGTAGCTCAGCTAACGTCTTTGTAAAGTAGCCTAGCGAGACAGACCGAGTAAAGGAGATGCTGAAAACCTAACCTGCTGTTTTAAGCGATATCAGACAAAGCGCAGGCAAACGGCTTCTGATAAAAATGAAAGTTAAGCTCTGCTCCTGACTTTGTGTGTCCATGGCGGTCCGACTGGAGGGTCGAAATGGGCATGTAAATCAACTTACCGCACAATTTCCCTCCTCATGAGCTCTGACAAGACAAACAGGCTCAAAATGTGACGAATTTTCTCGTCACTTTCGTGAAACTAACGGTCGTGGAAGCGCTCGCGCCGCCTATTTGAAAGTGAAGCGTTTCTCGTTTTCACACAAAAAAAGTCTTTCCACACAAACTTTTTTTTTGCCGTTGAGTTCTGAACAACATGTCAGGCTTTTCGAAAAGTTCTGAAATGTAATTCTCAGCGGCTCAGCTGTCTTCAGTGAAATTACAACGAAATTCCGCGCATTAATTTCACGTTGACTTTTCAGTGATGAGTCCAAACCCTCAAACTTCTGTTCAGAAACGGACTTTCTCACACAAACGGACAACTTTCACACACACACATCATGCGTGAAGGAAAAAGAGAGAGAGAGAGAGAAAGAGAAAAGAAAAGAAAAGAAAATGATAAAAGAAGCGGGATATCAACCTGTTCGTCAATAGTGAAGAAGTGAACTTTCACGCTACGCGCTGGACCATGTGGAGTCTCTCGCTTCCAGCTTCGGCGCAGCGTCCCAGCGACTCCAAAATAAAAACAAAAAAAGCAATCAACGCGTGAGAAAAGAAAAGAGGAGCAAAGAAATCACCTCGACCTACGACTGATCTCGCAGGACCATTACTTTGAAAGGCAAACTGTCTTTATCAGTCCTTCCTTTTTTGTTTTTTTTTTATTAGCTTCCCCTCTCAAACTTAATCACTCAGCTGGGTGATCAGTCGAAACAATAAGCCCGCGCGCTCAGCTCACAGGCTGCATGCTCGCCGCGCTCACAAAGTTCACGGAGGGGGGAGAAGAAAAAAAAACACACACAGAGAGAGAGAAAAGCACCGCCGCTTTAACGCCTCTTCTCTCGTAGCTTCCCGGCTCCGTTCAACCCTTCAGTCCTCTTCTCCTCTTCTCTCTCCTCTCCTCCTGTCCTCTCTCACAGCTTCGGCTTTTCTGAAGTCCCGAACCCGCCGCTCGCGCCGCTTTCTTCTCGCATCCCCTCGTGCGTCTCCGCGCTCATTCGGTAGAGAAATCAAAGTGTTGGGTTACTCCGCTTGTGTCTAGTGTTTGGCGATAATGTTAGGGGGGACAGTTTAGTCCTTTACCGTAATGCGTGTAAGACATGCGCGCGGCGCGTGCTCCGGCTCCATGGCAACAAAAAAAAAAAGCTCGCGCACGCACGCACACACACAGCGGCGCCGCTTCTGGGGTAACCAGCTTTTGTCTCTGAGGTAACGAACCGGTTCTTTTTTCAATAACCGATTCACGAGTCCAGCTGAATCGATCTTTTTCGTGTCCAGCATCTAAGAGTGGGCGATAAGGGAAAAATATAATATCACAATACTTGGAGACATTTTCATGATATTCACACGATATTTTTTATGATTATATACACTATATTTTTCATGATATTGACACGGTATTCAGTTTTCCTGAGGGGTTATTAGTTAGAAAAGAAAAAAAAAAATGCGCCAGGAGTGCTAAATGAAAAAATGACTATAAATAATTTTTAAATCTGGTTAAAGGGGAATTCCACCGATTTTTCAAAATATCTGCATATGTCAGTGGTTGAGATGTAAACAACCACAAATGTAAGTCATTCGGCATGTTTTGATGTGGAACGGTAAACTGTAGAGACACTTGCCAACTCAGATTTCTTTACAGTGGTGGTGATAGGAACCAGGGGTTGGGATGTCTACAACACAAATATAGTCCTTTTATTTACTATCCATAACCACCAGTGAACTTATATGTGTCTTTTGAGTTTTATATTCTAAAATAGTAGTAAATCTGGAAAATATATATTTTCTTTTGGGCACTATTTTGCCTCTTAACACCTTGCATGTACCCCTCCACCATGAAAAGATACATTTCAGGCCAAAACCTTACCTCAAAATGTTGTAAAACAATGTCATAGGCATCAGGCAGTATGTTCTTAGCCATTTCAGGTATAACTTTCTTTGAGGGGGCTTTTAAAGCCATTAAATATTTCAGACATCTGGTTCCTAACATCACCACTGTAAACAATTCTGACTCAAAAAGTTTCTCTAGAACGGAGCACTTCACATCAAACCACTCTTAGTGACTTTGTTTATATCTTAATGATTAAATCATATAGAATGTTTTGGCTCATGAAATCACAAAATGCCATGTTATTACACATTAAGAACAACTGAATTTGCTTACTTATTTTCTCTGAAGATTGTAGCTGGTGTCCTGTGCTATAAATGTCCAGAGAGTAGAAGTAATGCGCCTGCAAAGGATTTTTAGACATCGAAGTCATTGAATCGTCTAGCGGGAGTAAGTCAATGCAAATGGACTTGTGGCATAACCTTACTTTTCATAATTATAATACAAGTCTACTCATTTTGACTTATTACTTTTACTTTTTAACAGACATCAGTTTCATTTGTTGAATCAAAAGAATCAAGCTTCCCACTACAGTCTTGGGTCTGGCTAACAAGTAACGAATGTCAGTCAAAAAACTCAAAGATTACCTTTAAGAATTCAATGTTCACAAAATAATAGGTCTGCTTCTCTCAGTGAGGCACCATTAGCCATCCTGCATTCAGTTTTTTACCTGTTTTTTCATGGAGTGTCTAATACCTTTTTTTACAGATAAAAAGGCCCTACTGTTTAGTCAAAACTTTTAACTAACCTTTTTAATTTACGGTCAAATTAAGCTTTTCACTTTTCACCTCACTTTTGCTTCATCCATCTAGAGAAAAGATGCCAGTCCTTCGAATGTCCATCAGATGAAATGACCTCCATCCATTGAGGCCTATTAGAGAAATCAATAACACTAAAATGTGTGTGGGTAAGCAGTGGACAGGCCTAAAATGAAGAGGGCCAGGACCTCGTAAAACAATGCTGACTTTGCTCCGAAGTCCTGCAAGTATGGACTCCTGAAGTCTGGCCAAGCAAATCTCAACTGATTGCGATCTGTAATAAAAATTTATGGTACATGATTTATACTGATGAATGTATCTTTTTGGGAGCGGAGATGTTTTTTTTTTTATCTGGTTACAGGTCTAGGAGGAACAGAAAGAGAGGGGATATATGATTTTGGGGTTTCTTGGATGGATGTAACAGTGCGGGCAGTTGAATGGTTCTGTTTTCCATCAGACACACACACACGTATGACCAGGCATGACCAAAAACACAGTCCAAAACAGATACCTTGACCCTGCACTAAGACAAAGAGAGAAGGCCATGGCTTGGGCCATCCACCGTCACGGGGTTAAGATTAAACACTCTTGCGCTTTTCCCATCTCTGGCTAATGAGGCAACCACAGCCGAACGGATTACAAGGAGAACTTCAAGTGCAGCTGACTCTCACCCCTAACTAGCTCACAGACAGTACAAATCTCTCTCTCACACACACAGCGGGAGCAGTTCCCCCATGCACAAGCTTAAAGTTCATCCGGACATTGCTGCATATCTCCAGCCACTTTGCCTTACATCATCCTGGGCACTTGTAATGTCTGTCGTTAAATGTCTGGACTAATGTCCCGTATGCATCTTTGCCAGATGAATGGACCCTGCCTCATTCAGTTTTATATATACCCACTGGATTAGTAGGCATAGAATGGAATGCTTACATTAAATATACTGCATCAAATATGTATAGTCAAAGCAGGCAACATACAGCATATTCTGAAATGTCCATATTCCTGAACTGTAATATTGATGTACTCTTTACCAGTTATCAGCTTTGCCAAAGACACAATATACAGCAGTTCACACAGAGTACTAAAAGTGAGGCTTAGCCATAGAACTGTTTTGACATGTCGTCATATGACTACAGTGAGGAGGAATTCTCACCCAGCTAAAGGCATACACATTAGTTATTTCATTGTTTCCAAAGCGTACATCAAAGGTTATATGGATTTATGTCCAAAATGGCTAGGTTGTTTTTTTTTTCCAAGTGGGAAGGGGAATGGGTGGGGTTCAATCAGCCTCAAACACATAGCATTGTGCAAAAGTGAAAGACCACCCTTCATTTATTTCCAGTCAAAATGACTATTGAGTTATTCATTTTTTTGAGTATATATATATATATATATATATATATATATATATATATATATGTAATTTAAACCGGTGTACTGGAAAAACCAGTATATCGCCCACTATATGTGTATATATATATATATATATCTATGGTGGGCGATATACTGGTTATTCCAAATTCTATTTATAGTATTAGTTTTGTCACCACCGTTATACCTGGATGCAAATAAATGCAGATAAACATGCTGATTCCCCTCACGTGTTGCAGTCTAAGGTAAGTTAGTCCAGTCAAAGAAACAGACATCAGATTTTAATGAGTTAATAAGCTAACTGGGGGAAAAGGGAGTGGAAGGAAAAGCCAGTCTCTTGAGGTTAGCCATTAGCCTAGCACAGAGACTAGCTGGCTTTCTGTGTGCGGTGCTCCTGGCTCAGCCAGCTGCTTCAGGCAGCACCACAGTCTTGGCCTACAAGCCAAGAGGCTCCATAGCTTCAACTAAAACTGATTATATGAACGGCCTGTAATACCTGGTATACCAAAACTGTCATCATCTGATAAACAGCACTTAAAGCTTTGAGAGAGAGGAGAAAATCGAGCTCCACTCTTGCTTCAAATCTGAAAAAATTCACAGGTGTTTCTGCCCATCCTTCCACTGTGAGAAGAGAACTCAGCACTATGGGTCAAAAAGGACATGTAAAAAGCCGTTACTGAAAATCCAACCAATTTCTAAAACCTATTCTTCTTTATTTCCTTATGTTCATCCTGTTTATTCTTGTTCTGCTTTTTTTCCTAACCTTGAAAAATGAATAACTCGAATAGAATAAATTAATGTAAGTGATAGACTGAGAGATTTAGAAGATTCAACAGCACAATTAAATAGATTCAGCATTGCCCACAGTATGTGTCGATGGTACATAAACACAAACTGGTCGGAAATAAAGCACTTGAATAAAGTGTGCACTTACCCCACGATTAAGACCAGGCCTGGCCCTACAGAGTCCTTCTCCACTCCTCTTTTCTCGTCTTTTCTATTCTCTCCTCTTGCTGCCTACCACAGGAACACTGCCAAAACCCAGGAACATGCAAAACACAATCTCTCTGTTTACTGTTTGTTTACTCGCTTCTCTGTTTGTTGTTTTGCTTCTCTTTCTCTCTCTCGTTCTCCCCCGCCAGGCATTGGCTCGGTTCATTTGCCGGTGATGCGATGTCTGTTTATCTGTTTGTTTGTTTGTTTGTTGTTTGTTTACTTGTTTGCACAGGCCCGAAGCCCAGGGAGGGTGTAAACAAGAACGCACAGCACAGTAAAGGAAAGGCCTTCTCTATGAGGGCATTGAAGGGCCTAAGCAAGGACGCACGCACACACAGCATGTCACAGA